CCCCCCCCCCCCCCCCCACTGTATGTCATATTCGACTACTTCCACAGTACTCGCCTCACCTTTTTCTACCTTTGTGTCTGTCTACCTGTCTCTTCCATCTGTGAATCACTCTTCTGTTCCCCATCCCTCTCGACTTTTGTTCACATTTTTATGTTTTTTATCCTCTGTGAAACCCGAAGTCAACTAAAGGGCTAATGAAAGTCATCAAAATGCCAGCCATTTGATATAAATAAATAAATAAATCGATTGAATGATTATCAACGAGAAAAGGAAGGAGATAAATAGAGGAGTTAATAATTCGATTATGTGGAGATAATTTCATACACAGGTAAATTAGATCCATCTCTAGAGAAACGTGGGGGAAATGAGAGGGGTCGTAACAGAAATTAGACATTTTTATTTGCAATGGAGCATGCTAACTTCTCCATGGCGGAAGGATAGAAAGGAGTTGTGAACATTAAGAAGAGTAAAATGCACGTTAAATAAAGGGAATAACTCAAGCAGACATCATCTTTACTTTCTACAATTATCCTCTTCATTATATATAGCACGATCATTTGCTCAAGTACCATTGTATATGCGAGTTTTTTTACCTGACTTTGAACGGATATGAATTACTTCCACTTAAATGCAGGACTATATAGCATTAAACTGAATTCAAAAAACCCCCAAGAAACCATTGAAACTGAATTTCCCTAAAAAAGAACTTAAACTATCAGGGTAATCCCAATTACAGATGGAGCTCCAGAAAAATACGAGCTTGTCATGATCGAAATCTCCCACGTTCATTCCACTCAATGGAAAAAAACCGAAAATTTTCCCTTCTAGCACACATATCTCGCTGTTGTTATTGTTGAGCAAATAACAAATAACTTACCCGAAATGCTAGAACTCCTAGCAACTGTCCAGCAGCAGCTGCCACGTAGAGCGAAGGATCGTCCATTGCAGCAATTAAGGCCTAGAGAGACAAAAGGAAATAGAATGAAGTAACCCATGAGGACAATGTCAGGGTGTGCAAATGAAGTAGTCTACGGAGGATATGCATGGAATAAAATGCTCAATATCTCAGATAACTGCAACCTGGAAAAAGATTGACAGTCTTTTCGATTGATAGTAGTCTATTACAAATTTAACAAACCATCTCTCTCCACCTACCCAAGCAGGCATATGCAATCAATATGGTCCCCCCACTTATTATTATTGGGGACATTTGGGGGAGACACAAACGGATTGGATTTAAAGTGATCAGCTTAAAAATGTGGAGGTTACAGTAGGGCAGAAGGATGGCTTTACCAAATATTGGCACCAATCCATAGGAATTCAATGACGTATTAATGCAGTGAGGTCTGTTACGCATAAAAATAATTTAGCTTGCGTTTAAGAACTCCTTCAAGCTACTATAAGAGATAATTACCTTTAAGATAGCATTACCAAGCACGACAATAAATTAACTAGTAAATAGGATCCGAATGTGACGGATGGACATGATCGCACCAAAGAAAAGTGGAACCATACCAGGAAATTCGGATTTTATTGAATTAGGATTCGACCCAATATGCCAATTGTTAAAAAATTGAACAATTTACTGAATCCAGAAATCCAATGAGATAAACCTTCTAATGGTATTACTTAAACCTTAACGTCTACCCAACTTCTCAACAGCATTTTTCTAAACTAATTCATAAATTTAATAATTACTAATGACCCTTGTGAATGTAATATGGGAAATGATCCAAATTACACCACATAGGAAATATCATTAACACCGGAGGTGATTAACGAGGACGATTTATAGAAGAAGTACGTGTGAAATATCCTCCTTTTCTGAATTCTCACTAACAACATAACTTTTGTCGTCCAAGTAGTTGTTGATATAGATGGAAAAAGAGCTTGTACGAATAATTAGCTTATTTAGACTCTGTAGTTGATAAAATCCAACTTCATGCAAAGGAATCGTCAAGGTTGGCCGGTGTGCGTTCAAGCAAACGTTCGATAACTTATAACGATGCATTTTTAGCTAAGGACCGTGTAAGGTTGGCCAAAGAACTTGCTTTATCCAGTGCAGTAGTAACTACTACGGAATAAAATCCTCCTTTTTATGACAAATCTGGCAAAATTATTAATCTATACTCGTCTATATGTCGAGAAAATCAGTTGATACCATCAGAAACTCAACTCGACATTGACCATAGTTTAGAGTAAACCGTACACCCCCAATCCCCCTCCCCCTTTTACACTTAAATTAGAAAAACAGACCAAATAAGCACCAACATTTAGTCGTACAAAATCCGGTTTACGCTGATTGACAATAGAATTGATGAAGATCGAGATTAAGAATAGTAACAAGTAATGATTGGGGCTACACGATTGCAGATGACAGCCTAGAGTATTAAACCAGATGCAGATCAATTCCTTCCTATTCTAATCAAAAGAACTGTTTGCAAAAATGTTCAATTTCACCTATAAAAAACTCACCTCAAATAAGCCAGCCTGAGCCAAACAGGACAAGACCAGGGCTGAGTGCGCCTCCAGAACATCTGTTCCAGCTGACTGGAAAAAAGGGTAGAGTCTCAATCCCTCCTCGACCACAAAATCACCATCCAAGTATGGAAAAGGCGGAAGACATTCAACTACACTCCTCTGAGATTGTGGCTGGTTCTCTTGTCGGCCTCGACCTCGATAAGCGACTGGTGGATAGGGAAGACCCGTGTAAAGGGCAGATGAAAAATCTCCAATCACCGCATGAGCTGTGTCGGTGGCAGGAATAAATGGAGCAGGAGCAGCAACACCGGGAAAAAGGTTGTAGAGCATACTAAGGACTTGAGCCTAGAGGTAGAAATTAGTTTACATATATATACCATTTAGGAGGCATGTATATGGAATTAGGCTATTCAGAATAACATAAAAAACCAACAAAGTTGCCTGTGAAATGTAGATATTACTGCATTTCCTTAATCAACTTGACTTATTTGTCCAATCTCCGATATATTGGCCTAGCAAATACCTCCAAAAGCGCCCCTGAGCACGTTGTATGTGGGGGATTGGGTGTCAGGTGAGTTTGTAACTTCGTTAGTTAACAGAGAGAAACATGTGCCAGAACACAGAGCAACTTAGGCATACCGTAGATCAATGAGAAGCTAGAACGCTTGAAACATTAAACCTCAATTTCACACTGCGCTCGACTGAAGACAGAATTTACAAGTGCCAAAGTGAAATTCCAACTTTTATACAGCGATGTTCGAGTTCAACTTGTGTCCAGACACGGTGGAGGAAATAAAGTTTTGAACGATTTTTTATCCGTGTGCAAACTGTTTAAGATTAATAATGAGCAATAAATTTAATTTTATTGCCAAGGGTGAAAATGCCCAACCAGAAAGTAAAGAACACGCCAATAATTGCATGCTACAGAAATTTGGTACTCCAGTGCTTACATTCCGACGATGTCAAATTTGATTAAAAAGATTTAAATCAGACAGTAGGAGAATTAAATGACGCGCCAAAGTTGGGATATGAAACAAAATTTGATGATGACATATTAAAAGCCCCTGGTAAATCAGACGGTCGATCAAATAGGGGGAAATAATCACAGAAACTAGTGTGCCTAAAGCCAAACATGCAATTGTTACTAAAGTGAATTGGCAAATGGTATAAGATGCAATTTTTTAGTGTCTCCGCGTTGACCTGTCCAGTGCAACAAGGAGAAGTGAGGAAACAGGTGACCATTCTAATTGGATGGTGGTATATTGTGCTCAAATCCTTTGCCTAAACTTAGATAGATTTGACAACAAATCAATTACCCTTATTTGCTAAGTAATTATATACTTATACAGTTCGAAAAAAACGCCTTGGTGATTTGAGATTGAGAACAACATCAGTCTAGTCTAACATCGATTTTTTTTTATTTGCCTTCTTAATGAATATCGAGTATATATTCTTGGTGTCTTTGACAAATCCTCTTATTTCATTATCTTGACTTTGTCGACTTGCTTTGCCCTAGTCAGGTATATTCTTCCCCCTTTGAAAACATTTTGTAGGTTTACTCTACCCACCTTCGAAGCCCTCCAAGGCGAGATAGAGAGTGAAAAAAGGTATATTTACAACTTATACACTGATAAAATTATGCTATCTAATAGTTTGTTAAGGTTCGCAAAAAAACATGAAGTGGAATATTCTTTTCTTATCCGTGTCCTGTCTACAAAAGCACTTAATTGGAATTTCACACAAACAACGCGCAAATTTTTATTAAGCCATGAAAAGGCCAAAAAAGCATCCCATGTGGTTGTCTCGACGCGCATGTGAACTCAAATGGCGTTAGGTCATGTTTGCTGGTATTGCTCTAATAAAGTCGTGGTGTATCGAAGCAATCAGTTAAAATTAGAAATACTTTGAAATAATAACTACTTCAGAAATTACTACTTTGGAGCCTCGAGTAGATTAGTATCGATTTCTTGACAAAATTTAGTTTATCAAAGTTTGAGGCCATTAGGAATAAGTGGTGATGGTGGGGGTGGGGGTGGAGGTGGGGGGGATTATTAACTAAGACGAACTAATTACACTGCAATTAATGCAGAAGCTGAGCATGTATTAAATCGAATAGTTTAATTTCAAATAAAGAAATCTCAAGATGGAAAAATTTAAAGTAATGAATTAAAATAACAATAGATCGCCGAAACTCGCATTCCATGGCCAACTGGGTAATTACACTTGAAGTACATTGGCTAATCGATTAGAGTGAGAATTTTGGTACCGCTGCATCAATTCCCCCAGTGTAGCAAAGGTGATTGGAGAAACACGTACATTTTTTACTGTCAATTTAAAGAATTCGTTAAATTTTTATATCAAATTGTCATTGGAGAAGAGAAGTGGACAGCTTACAACGCACCTTAGGGAGAATAAAACCATATTTGTCGTCAAATCAAACACCCCTTCCGGTCTTTAGGCTAAGCCAGGTCTGACCTGCTGGAAACTACTTCTATGCAATTGGTGGAAGACATGTGGACTACTGCATTAAGAATATCTAACACCAGCTGAATCAGTTAGAGATGAAGTTTATTGTCAACAATTGGAAAGACTAAACGAAAGGTGATGATGAATCTTCAAATTGGTAATACTCGGGTCTCACAAAGGAAAAATGACCTGAAAATATACCCATAAATAAAACCTCCTCCCCCCCCCCCCCCCCCCCAGCCGTTATTCCTATTCCTAATTGAACACTTCCAGACAACTAAGATAATGGATAGCTCTCTTCCACTAAATGCGCTAATTTAATTGATTTAATTGCCAACACGCTTATTGACCATGCTATCTTATTCAAGTGGACCATATAAAGTGACAGCCAATTGCAGAAGCAACTTCAAAACACAAACACATACACAGAGAGAGAAGCGCTTACTCTTAGCTTAGAGGAGCCAAGTGAAAGAGATTGCATGAGCGTATGGAGACAATTCTGTCCCTCACGAAGGAAATAAAATAGACCTGAAATTGTAAAAAAAGGTTATGTGAGATGGCATTTTCCTACAGTGACTCTCGTGTGAGCAGAACGTATAGTGAAATGCAAATAAAAGTAGACAAGAAGCTTGCCTGGCCAAGAACGTAGAATGTAGACAAAAGAATCTCTTGTTGCTGCGATAAAAGAAGGATTTCTAAAATGAAAAAAAGGCAGCAAGCAATAAACCTAGATCTCTAATTTATGTCGAAACAACCAAGCCCGTATTAGAGAAATAGGGGTGCTCGATAGACTTGCCTCCACGTGGTGCACCCTGGGCAACGTATACTAATACGGCAAAAAAATTCTATAAGCTGGCCGTTTACTTCTGACTTCAAACTACCATCACGCCATGACCCAACTATATGCCATATTCAACCACTTTCACAGTACTCACATTACCCTACTCACTACCTTTGTCTGTCTCTTTCACATCTGTGAATCACTCTTCTGTTCCCCCTCTCCACTTTCTGTGACTTTGATGGTCCACCCTTCTGTGAAGCCCGAAGTCAATTAAACGGCCAATGATAACTAACAGAAAGGCCGGCATTTGATAAAAATAAATAAATACTAGAGAAATGACCCGGTAAAAGGACAAATGGAAATATGCATTTTATCTAATGGAGAGAGCAAAAGACCAGGCGGTTGGTACCAAATCAAAGGCCTCATAACTAATAAAGATGATATTTAATTAATGTTGACAAGTAAATCTAAAGAATGAAGCATGAACGAGAAAAATAACTGCGGTGCTAAAAAATTCAATAATACGATGCCAACGAGAGTATTTACAAACTGCCGGCGATCAATATAAACAACGTTGAAGATTGGATGGGCATAATCAAATCAGCTTACAAATGAAGTAAAGACTACTCGCAACATGCATCATAGAGGAAAAGACAGAAGAATGTTAGAACTTCGCTATAAAGAAATTGAGGTCAACGTGAAATCAAAATTTCAAACTAAGAAACTATTTTTTTCCCATTTTAGGACCAACATAAGCAGGCCACATTATTTCTTTTGGTGGTAAATAGGACATCAGAGGCTTATAGATCAAACGTCAATCGATAATGAGGCTACAAAACACCACAGCCGAAGTAAGATCTTCGCATCAAAACACATTATTCATAGCCAGTAAACTTTGATAAGAGATGTTAAGTTTGATAGATTTTGATTGTCTCAGAAGACCCGCTTGAAAATCTAAGCAACATTGTCGGCTATTCAGTTGTACTTAACTTGGTCGAGAAGTGCTAAATCTAGCAGACATAATCCAAAACCAGAAGCCGAGGGGTTAGATCGCAACAAATTTTTTTCTTAAAAAAACACTATTCCATCACCCTCAAGTTTAACTAATAAAAGAATGTTGACGCATTCGCTTTAATTTACACATACCTACATGCATCGGTTTCAACCCATCACAGGATCACATTTTTTTAAATTCAACTTAGAACAAAAAAACAAATTAAAAAATAGAGAAAAGAAACTCACGAATCATAAGGGGATCTCGGAACGGTGACCATAGGGTAGGTGACAAGAAAGGGAACGACACATTTCTGCAAATATGAAGTGATAAATTAGAAATAAAATTATCAATGAAGTTTGATAAATTCAAATGTTAGGCGACAACTATTCAAAACATCGCGTCGCAAAAAAACATACAAAATTATTGTTGGAATACGCACCAAATTGCTTACCTAAGTAGAACACAACAAATGCGTTACCAAGTAAGCATTAGAATTTGTTTGGCAGTTTAGAAAACGTGTCTTTAAGGAGTAATCACCCATATCTACCGAATACAATCTCCGTAAGAGAAAAAGACGGGAGATTTTTGCGTCGTAACGATTATTGATTAGGGACTTTGCATGAGACATTAGCATAAATACATCTTATACCCTAGGGGGAAAGATGACAGATAATGGAGTGAATAGAGAAAAGGACAAACGACGTCCAGTTTAACAGAACTTATTTTGAATTAAATGGGGTGTATGATTGACTTACCTCCACGTGGTGCACCCTGGGTAACGTATACTCACACCTTACCTCCACGTGGTGCACCCTGGGCAACGTATTCTCATTCGGCTTACCTCCACGTGGTGCACCCTGGGTAACGTATACTCATAAAGCAAAAAAGTCTATTAACTGGCAGTTGACTTTTGACTTCAGACTACCATCACCCCACTGTATGTCATATTCGTCTACTTTCACAATACTCACCTCATCTTTTTCTACCTTTGTGTCTCACTTTGATGTTCCTTCTCCTCTCTGTGAAGCCTGAAGTCAACTAAAGGGCTAATAATAACTATCAAAACGCCTGCTATTTGATATAAACAAATTTTAGATTAAATCAAAGGCCTGAATTGAATCAATTTTACTAATAACACATATGACGTAGTTGAAAGCTATCAAGCCAATTGAAGGAGAGATTTGCCTAATACGTGCAATGTGAGGCTGCTTCATAAAAACTTGGCACCACGGTAACCCGTATTTTGTCATGTACACATAGATAAATTTCAACAGCATGGTCGCTTATCAAGTAAAGACGATATGTAGGGATAAATTTCCACTTTATAAATTATGATATTAGAGATGTCTACGTGCATCCACTAAATTGCAAAACCTTAGCATAGAAGTCACCCCAAGAGGCTGCACAACACAGAGTTGCTCAATAAATTAGAAATGAGATAGTGAAAACCTAGACATAGGCTTCAACAATTCCTCAAGAGGATAGAAAACAGTGTAGACAAATAAAAAGAAAAGATACAACAATTGATTTGAACAAAAGGTTATAACAACTAAACACAATCACGTTTTAATAGTCCTTAGTTTATGACTAGTATTTAACGAGAAACAGAAAAAAACGAGAATCTCTCAACAAGCATTGCAATGTAAATTTAATCAAAAATGACAAATTAACAAATTAAGAGGCACCATGTGCGTAGTTTAGGGAAAAGGTTAAACTAACCTGAAAAATCCAGGAATCAACCACACATCTTCCATGAGAGCTTTCCGACGAGAGTCGTAGGAGAGCCAAAAGAATAGTTTCAAGTAAAATCGCAGGATGCTTGTAAATCTCCCCAGACTCACCGCTGCAAGGCAGAGCGTCTATTAGCGTCTTTACTGCTACCTCAAGGGGTGAACAGCGGGATACACTCATTGCTAGTGAGTCACTTGAAGGATGTGTTCCACTGTTACGAATCACTGGAAAAAAAGCAAATGAATGTTTTAGTTCTCAAGCCAATCACAATTATTTAGGAAATTCTACCTTGATGTAGTTTTCAATCAATAAGACTAGATCCATTAAAAGAATTGGCATAATTATTGAAAAAGCTTGAGGTCATAAGATCAATAGACATCGGTGTACAACTAGTGAGCAAAACGGTTGATGGCACCGACTCAATCTGACTAATTCCAATTCCGTGTCAGAAAGGCTCTAAGATGTTGCCCCATTAACATTCCCATTGCAAATCAATTGCGCATTTGTCATGAATTGTCCATTAATGACTCTGAACTACCTACTCATCTGGGAAGAAACAATGGCACCTAGGATAATAGATGATATAATTAAAAAATTGTTGACTAAGAAGAAAAATTTTTAGCAAAGTCTGATAGGCGCGACAAGCAATGGTAATGAAAAGAGACAATAGGGGAGACAAATAAACCCACATTCAGAATTTAATTTCTTCAATAATATTGGGAATTGAGGCACTTTTGGGGATTCCGAAATGCCATAATCAAATAGTCACGGCAATCATTACTATAAGTCATGGAAAGATGACAAAAAATTTCTTTACTTATCAAGAAAAATTATTTAAATATGGAGAAAAGCAAGTAAACTAGCAAATTGATAAGAGAATTAGAGTCATAGTTCATTTCAGTTTTTCACTCATAAAGTCCGCTTTGTTATATTGAGGCCAAATTTCAAATTTGTGCTTTGATGTTCCATTTTCCTACACATTGTTGTCTATTATACTGCTACAGGGCAGATAGAATTGATCAAGAGCTCTTAAGACAACAGAAAGCACCTTGATACAGAGTAATCTCTTTAATAAGGTGAGTGCGATAGACTCACCTCCACGTGGTCCACCCTGGGCAACGTATCCTCATATGGCAAAAAAGCCAATCAACCGGCAGTTGACTTCTGACTTCAAACTACCAGCATTCCACTTTATGTCATGTTCGACCGCTTCTACGGTATTTTTTTACTTTTCTCTGTCTTTGTTTCCGTCTGTCTCTTTTACATCTTTGAACAGCTCCTTTGTTTCCCCTTTCCACTTTTTCTCACTTTGATGTTCCTCCCCTCTGTAAAACCCAAAGTCAGCTAAAGGGCTAATGATAAGTATCATAAAACCCACCATTTGAAATAAATAAACCTCTTTAATAACCACATTAGTACATAGACACCAACTAGTGTCCCAGACCCATATGAATGCTTAGCTATAAATTCAATTCCTTCATTAGTTAGAAATATGAAGTGCAGATCGTTAAAATTAATCTCAAAACTCTATCTCGGTCTGAGTCGCCTGAAGTTTAATAAGCACCTAAAACACCGACACAGATATTGGACTTGCTATTTTTGTAATGGGGAAAGTCATACCAAATTCGGTAAGCAGAAGGAGATGAGCCCTCAAGCAGGTGTCTCGTTCCCGTCCGGAGTTAAATTGAGCAGAGAGAGGCGAGAAAAGAGCTTGAGGAGGAGGTGGACCTACAACATCACCAGCCTTAGAAGAGGCGGGATGAGGCGGTTGAATGCCGATAGGAAGAGCTGATGAAGTGCATGTGGCAGAAACTGCTGCAGCTAAGCAATGAACCAGGTGGGCAGTAAAGGCGCCTTCAGAAAAACGCAAGAGGTGGCCAGCCAGTCGAAGAACTGCTATTCGTTCAGTGACATCGTTGGCGGACGTCGGTGTGGAAGATTCTGGAGAAGAAATGTAACAGGAAATAGAACAGTAAACAACACGCAAGATTAAAAGGCAAGAGATTAATTTAACAACGATCAAGCTGTCTGTTTGATTATAGCAAACGGTTGCCGATTTACCTCAAAACAAAACAACGTTTGACAAATATTATTAGAAACCACAAAAAAAAATTTAGGGCAAGCATTGCATAGCCAATTATTCTAAAAATGCCGTCTGAATAGGCCGCTACTAACTATATCAGGTTTCTGTCGCAATCTCCAGCAGAACATAAAAGATTTTAAAGACACTTGATTTAGGGTTCAAGTCCCTTCTGAGAATGAGGACATTGAATGTCCGGATTAGTAAATTAAATGGTTTTCAAGGCCCCATTTACATCTCAGGAAAATGTTCTTATAGTCTTGAGATCAATTACTCGATTTCTGAGACCGGATTATTCTATTACTTTTGTTTTATGTTCATGGCTAGTCCCTGGATTACCAACCAATCAGACCAGTCAATTAATTCCGTATACCAAAAGGCTGACAAGAAGTTGTACTTTCCTAAATACGAAATAGACGCTCTACTGGATCTGAGTACCTGGAAACACATAGACACTCCAAAGTTTGGTATTGGAACCTTAGATTATACTAATAGTTGATTACAATTCCATTAATGGTGAAATGGAATTAAGATAAAATGGAAAGCTAAAACGTACTATAGAAAGGCCTTTGAAAGCCAAGACCTCGTCCTCCGCGCTTAAAATCATCCAGAAAACGTTGATAGGGCCCAGCTAGCTGGCGTATTCGCGAGTTTTTTGAAGCCCATTCATCAAGATTGGAAGGCGAGTCATTGCCATTAGGAACGCAGATTGGAGCCAAAAACTCATCAGCATAGGAGAGATCAAAGCATCTACAAATTCGAAACAAAAATAACCTTTAAACAAGGAGACGAAATTTAGTTCATTTAACAACTAGCAAAAAAACGTAACAAAACTATTCACACAATTGGAAATGTATTCCCAATTTAAGGATTATAGTGATGACTGGAGTTGTGGGTATATTTTGAATTTACAAAGATCGACGTAATTAGCACAAAATGTAAAGACTATTGCAATTAAACATTGCAGTTAAGAAATGTAGAACCAATATTAATAGGGGAGAAAGCTTACAAACTTTAAGTAGAGAGGAAATACTGAATTAATCCTGGGGTCATTGAAGTTAATAAGGAGGGTTTATGATAATTAAGGAATCATTCGAGGTCGAGAACGAAGGAATGGCGATTATTTCCAATATGTTCTCCACCATCCCCCCCCCCCCCCCCCCCCCCCCCCAACTCCATTACAACCCCCAAATCCATCCCGAATACTTCTTTAGGATAGTTACCAATTAATTGTATAAGGGAGACAACATAGTATCCACAGCACTTCGATTCATTGCACTAGTGAAATTCATGGAAGTTAAAATATACCCTAATAAACATCTGAAAGTAATTCGTGTCCCATGCGGAGGGAAAACAGAGACATTTACCAGACAGCCTTGGAAGAAATCTGTGAGAAAAGGCTGTAGCCTCCGGGATATAAACGCAGACACTCCAGTGATAATTCATCGGCACATATTGCAACAATCATGAGCACATGAAATAAATTGGAAATAAATTTCAGCTAAATATTGCAGAAGATTCATAACGAAATAAAAATCACTTGTGGAGCATTGAGATCTGCATATTCACTTTGGTGCTGCAATTGCATGCATTCAAAAAAAGGACCTGCTTAAAATATTAATCCACTCTGTAAAGCAAAAAAATGAGCAACTCAAGCAAACCATTCATTTTTTATCAAAATGAGCTAACTTCTTGGGGTAGAATTTGGCTTGCCTGCAAGAAAAAAGACTCCCAAAAAAGTGCTCCAACTTGGGAAGTATGTTATAATTCAATTCTTCCACGAAAACACATTAAGCCAGATTAATTCAATGACACCTGAAAGTTAGTCTTCAATCAGAAGATGAGTAGCTCGCTGTTATTCAAGAAAATCCTGATAAACAATTTCAAGGTGTTGAACGATAGACTCACCTCCACGTGGTGCACCCTGGACAACGTATACTCATGCGGCAAAAAAAGTCTATTAGCCGGCAGCCATATTCGACTACTTTCACAGTACTCACCTCACCGTTTTCTACCTTTGTGTCTATCTCCTTTACACCTTAGAAACGCTCTTCTGTCCCCCCCCCCTCTCGACTTTCTTTTCCATTTTGAAGTTCCTTTCCCTCTGTGAAGCCTGAAGTCAACTAAAAGGCTAATGATGACTAACAAAACGCCTGCCATTTGATATAAATAAATTTCAAGGAAACGCAACTTTATCTTTCATCCCAAGCCCTTCCAATAAGCACGACTTCATAAGCAATCGTCAATCTAAAGAAGACAAGGCTTTCTTGCATTGTGCCTACTAAATAAATACCCCCATTCTACTTCCTTTACCTTTTCTAAGTTATGAGTTAAGCAACCACTGACTGGGCCGGTAGGCAGTGTGGGCATTAGGCTGCCACATCAATAAACCAATTAGCACTAGAAAGCAATAAATGAATACAGAAACAACAAAAATCCAACACAGCCATCGCTCTGAAGACACGTTTAACGTTTAGACAAAAAAGTAAAAATATCACTGACTTTAAAGGCACGTACACAAATATTGTCAGAAGAAGCAATTTTATGGTTATTCAAAACACATCCCGTGGACTGATCTTACAATCAATGCAATCCACCCCTAATTGAAACAAAAAGCTAACGAATGCGAGATTTGGAGGCTTCATTTGAGAAGGCACCGGCTCAAAATAAGTTAAAAGACACCAGGTGAGTGGCATGACTATGCGTAGAGATTATAATTGATCTAGTGAGGAGTAAATGTCATACCAATTGGCTATCAATAAGACTCCAAGATGTATCAGCAATAGGAAAATATAATTATGAAGGGTCAAAGTGACAATTAGCCATGTAGAAGATCATGGTTTGAACCTCTTGGTGATTTAATTAACCCATTGTGTTGGTTAAATTAATTATAGGTATGTGAGTTACATGTGTGCGGTTAAGGATAATAAGTTCTAAACTCGATGACATCTATCCGGTGAAGGGTGAGACCTATTTTACTGGGATGTCGGGACACAGAAAAAGCTCCAGAAAGATACTGCTCCCCAACAGGTTTGAAATAGTAATAACAGCCTCAAAAAATGAAAGCTCCACACCAGTGGATCATAGATTCCAGTATTCTAGTTTTATAACTAACACCGAACTCGGCACTTTATTAAACTAGTTGACCACGTACGATAGCTAGGTGCTTTCTGAAGTCGATGGAGTGGCATTATGAAGATGTAAATATCTGATTAATGAGAAACAATGATAATGAATATCAAAAAGTATACAACATAGAGATATTTATTGTAGAAAGCAGTCCCACCTTGTGATGCAGAGATCCAGGCGATTTTCCAAGAGAATGTCCACATCCTCCTTGGCGCGAACGTAGTAACGAAGACATCGCAGTCCAGCACAACGAATTGCACGCTGATTGCACCACAAAGCCAAGGAAAATCTATGGAACAGAAGGGGAAATTCGATTGAATTTGCGAATAAGGAAAAGAGAAAAGTCATAGAAGAAATTCATTAAAAAATACACATAAGAAGTGAATGGAGATTGTAGGCTTCTAAATAGAGCAGAAACAAAGTGATGAGATTTGAGGAGCAGTGGATCAGAATCTTATTTTTATCTATTTATTTATTCGTTTGAAATTTTGAGATCTGATCGCCCCTTACATCTTTTCTGTTTAAAATTCGTTGAAGAACAAAAGCTTTCCGAAGCCTATTCTACAATTAGACACCCCATTAAAAACGGACTAACCTTTCAGTGGGGTAGATATAAACGAGTTTAGCACATTACCATATCCATGCGATATACTTAAATAGAAAAGCTTACAAAAGAGGCATTAAATCGCTATTCATTTAAGTAGAAATAAAAATTAAGGATTTCAAGACCATTCGCAATGCACTTAATGTTAGTTAGGAATGGACTAGAAGTAATCATAAATTTTACGCGATTAGAAATCATTATCATCACCTTCAGCCACTGATGGAATAAAACCAGATGCATAAAACTCCGGTAAGTAAAGAAGTACCACAAATAGATACTCTGACAGGTCTAAGATTGCTTCATGTTCTATTGTCCCAAACACTTGATATTTGAGTCATTTGAAGTTAATGCAACCTCTACTAATAAACCATAATATTTTTTTCAAGAAAGCAAAATACCATCGAGAATCGAGTTTGCAAATTTAGAACCTTGAAGTGTCCATTATTTCAAAACCACGAATTACCCAAAAATCTTCAAATATAACAATTTTTAACAATTACTAGATCATTAAATTTTTTAACGTGTAGCTTTTGAGGAAGGGAACGCTTAATTTGGAAGATTGCAGAAGCACCGTGCCTGACGTAAGCAAGTTTTTTTTAAATTTTAACTGATAACTAAATAACGGAGGACCCACTTGTCATCCAAAATGGAAGTAATTAAATCTCTACATTTACCTGTCTAAATAGAATACTTTAATAGATAAATATATATGTCAAGTAATAATTGCAACTCAATTCCAATAAGCACAAATATGAAATTGTTAAAGAAGACACCAGCTTCCATTAAATAATTCCAATTAAAGATAGTAAAAAGGGGAAAGAACCAGGCATAACTTTACTACTACATTAAAAATTTTAGTAGTAAAAACAAGAAAGGAGATTTAAATTAATGAGGTGAAAAAATATAGACGAAAAGGCAGCAGACTCAAAGAGAGGCTCGAAAGATATCCACATTTAAGGTTGGGTTTAGTTATATTTCATTATAAATGACTTGACCACAGAACACATTCCCTGAACTGCCAATTAGCAAGAACTTATCAATCAGAATTAACCTAATTATGCTGGTTCAGAAATGAAGTCCAAATAGACGTGGAAAGATTGGTTTAAATCTAAGACAAACAGTAAAAATATTTTGTAATCTCATTAACCCGCATATACTTCACCAAGGCACACAAAATTAAATTATTCAATTCAAAAACCGTTGGCACGTTGGTAGGAGCTTTAAGTCGGCTCCCCAGATCAAAGTGAGAAAACATATACACTCACACACGGTAAACTGCTGTGAGTGCCGATTGTCTCAAGTTCCCATCAGTATTTTGAAATCGAGAAAAGACCCGAGAACTTAGTGTTACAATGGCGTTGAGGTGGTTAGTTGCATTAAGGTAAACCTGGTTGCAATTGCCACTCAGTGAGTTTTCTGACGATTTCTGCCAGGGATTGTGGAAGGAATAAATCTCATCAAAATCCGCTATGCACTGACCCAGTAAATCATTCAGAGATCGAAGAGGATCTATTTAAATAAAGATAAATATGATAATTTGGTAATGTGAAGAACACAGAAAAACTAAGAGGAATCGTACCTTCAGAGGCAGACAAATCCATTAACACTGCATTTGTTGAATGAATAGCTACAGCATAAACCAAAGGTAAATAGGTTAGTGTTCAGCATTAAATAACGTTGCAAAATAAAGACATTTTTGTGATATTAGCTCAAAATGCATAAAATAAAATTTCAACAAAATATCTCAATATTTATGTGAACCTAATACTAATTATAATTTTATTTAACAAAGAAACATTAAGCTTATTTTAAAGTGCTTACGTTGTGGCACAATTTTTCTAGGACATTAGGCAAGCTCGCGATAAATATTTGACCAATAGGAACCAAACTATGCAGGTATTGAGATTTTCAAAAGTCTGCGCTTCTTTCTAATACATTAAACAACTGTAGGGCTTCTAAATTAATAAAAATTAAATACATATGCAAATTTTAACTTGGATTTGCAAAACAATTTCTGTCTTGAAAATATATAAACAATGGATCAAGTGAATTCTTTTATCATAACTGGTTTGTTTTTTGCTGATTTATGGTCTTCCCCTAGTGTTCATGAATATTAAAGAGAATAAAAAGTTAAATAGACACCCATTATTTTATTTGATTTATGCAAGTTATTGAAGTGAAGTTATGCAAAATATTGGCACCTTGGAACTAATTATTAATGTCCATTTTTCGCTGGGTTAAAGCGGAAGTGTTATTTTTTAAGCCACCCATTTTATAGGCAACATATAAGATTTTATCCACAGTCTTTTCTACTTTGTCGTTAACTATACCTGACTATCTATGGCTGTGTGGTGATTAGTACCTTTGAAGAATTGTATAATTAGCGTGAATAATACTCCGTCGATTTCATTGCCGATGACTTGTGGTCTGTGACCGTCATGTTTTAAAAAATATTGATAATTGGTTTCTATTATGTCTGGTCAACTCAGTTATTCAGATAGGCCGATTTCTTCACAATGCCAAAGAATGACACTTTTGCAAGTCATAGCTTATGTAACCTTAATTGTTTGCCCAAATATTCAGCCCTTAATACATAACATTAAACACAAATAAAATCCGCATTTCAGCTCAAGCACCTTAGCTACTAGCCCGATCCTCTTAGCACTCTAAGAGTTTGACTACAACAAAACTAACCTCTAATCCAACAAATATAAATCTCAGTTATTCTGGTATATCACTGTGCTTATCACAACCTTAGCACTGCTTCAAAGCCCGTCTTTAAATATTTATTAATAAATAAATGAAAATATCAATGGATATGGAAGCAACTTACAAATATAGACCAAGCGAATTATTTTGATCTTACATGCCACTATATTGAAACGTGGGGGTGCGCGATAGACTTACCTCCATGTGGTGCACACAGGACGACGTATCTTCGTACGGAAAAAGTCTATCACTTGGCATTTGATTTGATTTTTATTTATTATAATTAGCTTGAAACAAGGCTATAAGAGAAATTTCCCTCGTCAAGGCGAATCACAACGTCTTCAGATCTTCCAGTGGAATGCTGGATGGATGTCACATGACAAAAAGATCCATGTTCAGAAAATCCTACAAACCTATGATGTAGACATTTTCTCAATTATTAATTTATTAGTTATATCAAATGGCAGGCGTCTTGATGATTATCATTAGCCCTT